CATCATGGAGGCTTGGCAACCAAAACCTGGCAAGCTGGCACCAGCACCAAACTGGCCATTGTTTGTCCCCAGTATTGTGCAGTCCTGCCTGGCTGAGAGGAAGAGAGTGAGGGAAAAGAAGTGAGACTATGCAAATCCTCTCTCTTTCATATCAGCCATGATGCTTGCGTGGGCTTTCATGCTGTGTATCATGGGCAGTAATTATTAGAGCTTCAAATTTGGCTGTTCATCCCCTCCAAGGCAGTGGGGAAACAAGGCTCAGGCCATGATGGAAGGGACTCTCCGGGTCTAAAAATCTTCAAAGGGGGCTAAGAATGGACATGAACAAGTCTAGGTTCAGATCTTGTCTTTCAATTGAGGTTTTATACTTTGAGGGATGATGATGAGTGTTGGGGTAAAATGGAGACCTTTTGAAACCTGGTTCAACTTTTCCAAAGAACACGGAGCATGGGTCATCTGTTAATTCTGCAAAAGGAAAGCTATCTTCAGCCTCCCTCATCCCAAATTGGGGTACTTACTGTATATTACACCTTCCTGAAGCTCACCAGATCTGAGTGAGGTGTTCTAAGTAAGCCTGTGGATTTCTGAGTGCTTATGGAACACACTTTTAATCAGAAACTTAATTTAGGCAGAGCTCTTTCTTCCTATCATTTCTGCTTTTCTTTCATTAAATCCCAAATTATGCATGGAATGTAATTTTATGTCTGTCACCATGCAGGGCTCTGCCGGCTGGTACAGAAGGAAGCCAAAGCCTGGAGCTATCACTGAAGCTCAATTCTATGCACAGAAGGCATCCCATAAAAACCCCTGTTTGGTCAAGCAACCAACACTATTGATGAGAAGTTCAGTGTCTGGAAATATACACACCACAGCTGAAAACAGCATCTCTCCAACCTCTGTAAACTCAGGAAGGGACTGCTTACAGTGGCACTGCCCAACACCTTCCAGGCAGGAGAACAGAGAGTTTTGTCCTGTTGTTGCTCATTTTTGGCTTCAGTCAAAGCCTCAAAATCGAAAAAGACTCACCTAGATTTCTGCTGCAGTCTCAAGGCAATGTGCTTTATACTGTGATGGCAGTTGCTCCAGAGAGACAGGGTTTACCTCACTGATGGAGAAGCTATAAGTATTTCTTTCATCAACTGGCCTTAATTATTTCTGGTATCATGTACACATAATACAGTAATGTTCTTCAGAAAGTTTGGGGATGAGGTCAATAAAAAGAGACTGACGTAAAAAAGGCAGTCCAACCTGTATTTGTGCCAGTGCCAGAGACAGATGTATACAGAATAAGGAGTTCAGATCTGTATATGCACTGCTGTACTTTACAAGCCTAAAATCTAGTTTTTCAAGCCTTTAGTAGAAAGGACAACTGGACGGGGAAGTACCAACAGTGAGATATTGAGCTGCTCTGCCACCTTTCACCCCACACAGGGCAAAACAGGTTCTACTGCAAAGTGTACTTTCACAAAAATGGAATGGTTTGTAAATGATTTATCTAACTTAAAAGGATGGAGGATAAAGGAGAGATCCAGTGCATGTAATGTATTTGGATTCTCAAAAAGCTGTTGGCAATGTTCCACACCAAAGGTTGTTAAAGAAATGAAGCTGTCGTGGGATCACAGGAATTATTTTGTGGAGTGATGGTTACAACATGACAAAGGGTGGGATTTAGTGGTTGGTATGGAGCCAGATTCCCCAGGGGTCAGTGCTGGAACCGGGTTTATATCATACATAACCAATGACTGGAGAAAGGAATGAGCAGTGGTGTCTCTGTGTTTGCAGTGGTTCTGGGCTATTTTCAAGCCTGCATGCAGCAAAAGACACATGAAGGAACTCACTAAGCTGAGTAGGCAAAAAAGTGGCAGTTGAGCTTTGGTGCAGATCAACGTACCTTGCTGCCATAGGGTGCTGTGGACGTGACTGTATCAACAAGCTTAAAAAGAACTGGACAGATTTGGGACACCACATTGAAACATCAGTATGGATTTTATGTTCCTATTTTGGCCAAGACTTCTGGTAGGAGAAGATCTGAACAAAGAGTTTCAGCTGTCAGAACAGCTTGCTTTGATAAAGAAAATTCTGACTTTGTGTTTTGTTTTGGTGGGTTTTGTTGTTTTTTAACTGTGTTACTATTGAGGAATTTAAATGCCTGCTATTACTTTATAGTGCTTTAACACTACAATATATGATAAAATATTAAAACCAAAAAGCAAATGTTACAACATTATGAGTTATTCTTCTGTCTTTAAGTGTATTTTGATAGATCTGGATCATTTTACTCCTTTGTCAAACTGAGTCCATACCAATATTCATATTTTGAACCTTCATTCTGAATAAGAATTGAAGCGTGTTTTGCAATATTGCTTTTTTTTTTTTTTTTGATGGAATAGAAACATCGATTTCCAGTCAGCTTTAGTGATTATTTCCTTTCCTAATAGGAAAGAAAAAGAACCTTTAACTTTCCTTGTTAGCCTCTTGTCCCATTTCTGAAGCCTTCACTGTTTTAAGCATACCACATCTGCTCTGTCCGAGAAGAAAGTCAGGGTATTTAATGATGTACAGTATGATAGAGGAGGGCTTCGTTCAGCATTACTAGAGATCTCCCCTGGTTCATTTTGCATCAAAGAACAAGATCTTTTACAGCAGAAATTAAAATCGGCCTTTGAAAGGAGTAATATCATCTACCTGGCTGCTTATGCCTGTTACAATAGCCCCCATTCCCTTGCGTGGCATTGGCACTGGTGTGACAGTACCACGACCCAGTTTTGCTGGGGCTTGCTAGGTCAGGGGCAGGATTAGGGAGCAGGCAGTCAACACCAGGGTGGTCCTGTGTCTCTGAGCTGCTTACGTCAGTGCCTGCTTATGCTACCTTGAAGAGTTCACGATAATATCCCTTCATATGAAACAAACACTATCTGATCTACATGCAAGTCAGAATGTGGCCACTGAGGGCATTATATTGCCTCAGCTTTGTGACTGGTACCTGATATTCTCTGTGACAGTGAAGCTGAGCTCTAGGAGGAAGTGGTGCTTTTGTGTTTCTTGTAGCTTGTACTGCAGTTTGGGATTCTCCAGGGTACTTTCCCTATTCTTTTTTAACTGCAGGATCTGCTTCCTAGAATGGATCGTGCCACATTGCCTCTCCCAACCTTTTTCTTTCATTTTTTTCTCCCAGGTTTTCTTTTGTGAGTCTGACAACTATGTGATAACCATTCCTCCTCCTCAGAGCTCTGCAGGGGAATCTGCCCATCTGGTGGTGTGGGTGGTCTTAGCTGTGTACAGAACACACCTATCTTCTCCCTGTATGTACTGATGAAATTCACCACAGGCCTTCCTTGTGGTGGCAATAAAATCTCTGCTGTGCAATAGATCCATAGCAAAATACGAACACACCTTACTAGAGCTGGAACTGGGACCCAATCTGGAAAATTACAACGGATTTTCCAAATCCAATGGCCTTTGGGCATCACCCCCAGAGAAACCTGGTATCTTGGCTTCAGGGCAGCTTCCAAAGTGCTAGAGACAACTGTGGGTATCTTGGGAACTGGATCCTGACAGTTCCGCACAGTCATCCATATGCTGAGTGTGGTGGTGCAGCAAAACGTGGTGCATGCTCCCAGAAGGTGTTGCTGCTCAGCTGAGCAGACAGACATGGACTAGTATGGGAAATGCCAAACCTATCAGATGCATTTGGGGTGACTCACTCAGGGAGGTGCCCTCAAGTAACTGAGGTGTGGGCAGGATCTCAGTCAATGCATCATCTGCTTCTGACAGTGCTTTCCTGACCCACAGTGGGATATACCCTTTAAATTTCTCTGTGTTTAAATACCTGTCTGTCACCTGTTGGTGTGGGCTACCACCAACTACAGTTGTAAAATACCTGATAGCTAGGGGCTGGAACTAGATGGTCTTGAGCTCCTTTCCAGCCCAAACCATTCTGTGATTCTACAGATGAGGCTGGCTCTGAGGGATGGGTCGGCCCAGGGCTCCCTCAGCTGCCAGAGCTGCTCACTAGTACCCTGATGGTCACCCTCAGCCTCAGCAGAGCTGCCAAAGCACGACAGAAATTGGATCATCTTATCCTCAAACAGGAAAAGTGAAAGCAAAAGCATAAAAGCCAGAAAATGTACACCTTTGGGGATCACATCCTTGTGGTGAAGCAGTGAGAGCAAATCCACCACTATGAAGGCAAGGAGATAGTCTTGGCCTTCTTTCAGACCAGCAAAACAATTTCCCTCCCCATGAAACCACTAACTTCCTGTGCAAGCACAGGTTAAAATCCTAACTCCCTTGGTTATAGCTTGTAGATACTAGTGCACACTGAGGAGACCTGCACTGAGGTACAGCTGGCAATAGAGTCATCACCATCAAGCATCACCTGAACCACTGTGGGCAGCTAGTTTTGCTGGGCAGAGGAGGAGCTGGGTGATCCATGTTTGTGCACAGAAGCCAGTGCATCATTAACCCAAGAAGAGTACAGCGGGTGTAAGGTGCACATCTTCCTGAGGGCCCCCAGCAGCACCTGGGCCTACAGAAGCAGTTGGAGTTGGTGCTGGAAGCCTTTCTGGGGCATTATTCCATAACAAAGAAAAACCTTAGGAAGGAAAAGAGCTTGTTGCTGACAAGCCAGGCAAGGAAAAGAGGCTGTCGGCACTGTTATATTCACTGGAAACAGTTTTGTCATAAGCTGCCATGAGCTGAACTCAGACCTAAAAGATTATAATCAAAACCTTCCCCCCTGTCGAGCCCTTTCTTATTCATCCCCACCTTCCAGCAGATCTGTGAAATGTGGGTTCACCTCATCACTTGGGGTCGTCCTCTGAGAATGCAGCCAGCTATTGCAAGCCTGTGAAGGAAAATGTTATCTTCCTAGATCACATATTTGGAGGTAATGGCTCAGCAGTTAGAATGAAATCCTCAAACACCACAATGAGCTGAAGCAAAAGCCATAGATACTGGTGTCTGGTTTTGACCAACTGGCTAATAAAAGACACGTAAAGTTTGTACTACAAGTTTATTACAGTAACACAATCAGATTGATGATTTGCACAGCTAATATGCCTCATTATAGCGGGGTATGTACAGACATTTTATTCCCAGCACGTTACAATCTTTTTATCTTTAATCATGCAGCAAGTAATGTACAAACACAATTATATGGAAGATTATTTTTTCCCCTAAAAAAAGAGAAACCAAAATTATAAAAGTATGGCTTTATAAGAAAGTCATATCATACAATGAACATTCACTTGTACTTGGGTATGGCAACATTCGGTCTTAATCAGTGAGCAATTGCATCTGTCACTGTCACTCTGATTCCAAACAAGCCAAGGGAACTGGGAGCAGGGACATGCCCATTGGTGCCAGAGAGATGGAAAATATAGATCTGTATACAATCCAAGTATGAAAAATGTAAAAAAGTGTTTTCAATGGTGAAGCATCACATTTATTTCTATGCTGAAGTCAGAGTTATGGAGCCTTGAAGAATGTAAGTGCACAGTTTCTATTTTCCTTTAGACCAACAAACATCAGGAGTGATGCAATTGAGTTAAAAAGCATTACTTCATCTGTAAAGAGGTGTAACTGAGGTCAGAATCTGGCCTGTCCTTCCTGCTAATGGTGCTGCAGAAATAGACAGAAGCATAAAGTTAGGAAGTCAGCAGTGGCTGAATTTTGCTGGCAGCCCACAGAAAAGAAAGACAAAAATGTATGTTCAGTAGATTCTATTGACAAAAAAAAAGGTGGATTTGAGGATAAAATGTGGTCCCTATCCCTAGCTCTTCATGGGGTGATTGTGATTGTTGGTGAGCAGAAGCCCTTGTCCTTGGTGTTCAGAGAATCATAGAATGATAGAATGGTTCCAACCCCCTGCCATGGGCAGGGACACCTTCCATCAGACCAGGCTGCTCCAAGCCCTGTCCAACCTGGCCTTGAACACTGCCAGGGATGGGGCAGCCACAGCTTCTCTGGGAAGCACCCATTTCAAGATCAAATCATCTTCCTCTTTACAGGAGAAAAGAACCGTCCTTACCTGTTAGCAGCACGGAGCTTGGGACACACACTTATCTCATGAAAAGGCTGCTTTCTTAAGGCATTGATCACTGATGTGGAGTATTGGGGAAGTATTCTCAGTCAGTTATGAGTTCTACCAGGAGAGGGCAGACTGAGACACAGACATACATGTACACTCAGGCTCACACGTTCACATACACATACATGTGCACGAAGGCATCCACACGTTACACACACACACACAAGTCACTCGCCGTGATACTGATGTGATACTCATTGAAACTGCAGTCATGCATATACACACTCAGCTCAGATCCTTACAGTGTTATGCCTTAAAATAGAAGTTAAAAAGATGCAGCCTGCAGAGTCAACTTGTAATTCAAACATTAGCAAAGATTTTACTCCCTCTCTTTTCTCTCTTGCTTTTCTTCTTCTTCCCAAGCTGAGAAATACAGATTCTACCTACACTTAGTACCTACATATGCAAAATGTAAACAGCACTACACAGCACCTAGCACCCTTTTGCTTAACAAAGTCACTAACGTATTTGAAATGCAACATAGATTTTTCAAGACTATGGATTGTCAGGTTACAGAAAGCATGGAAAAGAGTTTACTTTTGTTAATGATCTGGCTTGGAAAGAGTGGAGGAAAAAAATCAGCGCACCAGGGCTGAGGTAGATTTGGCTGTATCTGATGTAATGTCACCATACTGAGCAGAAAGAAAACGGGGTCTCAGACCAACATGCAGGTGACCACAAGATAAGCAAACCATGTTTAGGGAGAAGATTCCTCCCTTCCAACAGAAGGATGCCTCATCCTGCACTCACATCACCACAGGCAATGGGAAGAGTTATTATCACAAAGCTAATGGCCCTAAACTCCAGCCTAGTAGGACTGTACGTGGAGGGCCAATGGTAGCTCAGCAGCTGAGGGCCAGCTAGTACTTGGTCTCTTGTTAAAGTGGTCAGGAGAAGGAGAATGAGAGGGCTGCAGAGTGATCTTCCCAGTGCAAGTGCTTGCCTGTTGTGCACTGAGCTGAGTACAATTCACACGTTGGCCAACAGCAGGCCAGCAGCTTTCTTCCAGGCTGGGGTACCAGATGCAGATATGCCCCAGAGCGTGAGTTTCCTGAACAGTTGCTTGAGAATCCTTCTCTTACCTTCTGTCTGGGCCAGTGGATAGTGTAGCCTCCCACATGGACAAACACATGCACACAAGCATCCTGCTGTCTGCTACAAACCCACCCACAGAGGCTGAAGTGCCTGAACCTTGACCTTTGCAACCATTCACAACTACTACAGCCAACTAAGAGACCCCTGCACCATTTTAGACTCCCCCAGTGGGTTGGTCTGGGTCTCTGGGTACAGCTTCTTCCTTATTAGAAAGTGCTACCTCATTAACACCATGAATTCCTACCTACCTCCTCTGATTTGAATCCAGCAGCCTTCCCCTCCCTCCTGGCTTCTCTGGAACTCTTTATAGCACCAAAACTCTCCTGGGTTTGAGCCAGATCTGCTCAATAACTGCAATAACAGTTGATCTTCCTTTCCCTCCTTCCCCAGGATTCCTGCTCCCAGGGCCTAATTACTGTTCTAATAATATCCATCACCAGCCTCCTCTCCTCTCGCCCACCCGGATGAGATACTGCATTGCTGGTAGGGACAAACCCAATCCTGCTCCTTCGGATCCAGGGGTGCACAGGAGCTGTGCTCTGCAGAGTTGCCCTCATCAGCCTTGGGCACAAGCACCTCTGCCTCCAGCTCCAGGTTTCTGAGAGGGGCCTGGGCTGGGGAACCGGCAAGGGTTGGCAGAAGCAGCTCAGCCACTGCTTATAATGTAAATCTGCCTTGGGCTCTGCTTTGCTTTCCAAGCGGTGGCAGCCGCCGCCTGCCGCAGAGGCTGCCGAGTGAGGGAGCAGCCTCTCCGCAAAACCCTCACCCCAAACTGACCCTGAATTTCTCTGTCACCCTTCGCACCCTGCCCCAAGGAGGAATACCTCACCCTAAGGAGGAATAGACACCATCTGGAAAGACACGAAGTGCCCAGGGGCAGGGGTGGAAGGACACTGCAGCACCGGGAATATGGGATTTCAAGAGAAAGGTTAACCCCTTCCTGGCCTGCTTGCGACTCCGGCGGCTGGGCTGACATCCGTATCACAAACAAGCCTACATCTTCACCTAGCAGAGCCCAGACAGCACTAGCACTGAGCTTCTTCCGTGGCCCATGGGAAGGGATGTCTGGGAGGAGCATCCCAGTGCCTCTAAAAGGATGTTCTAGTTGTCTGTGCCCAGGAAATCGCCACCAGGCCGTGGCTGGCATCACCAGCATCCTTGCACATGGAGGTATCCTGCACACAGAGAAACACAGCAGAATTGCTCCCTGTGGTGATGGGAAAAGGGTGTAACTCCAGCACAGCCATCTTGGTATAGGCACAGGGAAGTAGCCAGATGAGATAAAAGCCATTTTTGCATTGAGCAACTGAGATGTGAATGCATATTCTTTCTTAGCTTGCTGAAAGGGGGTTGTGCCCCACAGCCTTTGGGAACAAATGGGTTAATGCGTCTTCAGCAGAGTGGAGGGTTGCACTTAAAAAAGAGAGCAAACATTGGGGTCCAAAGTTAGGGATGTCCCACAAAGGGAGTTGGGATCCTGCCACTGCTCTGTTGGTGGTGAGCACAGCCAGGAGACAGGACCAGTTTGAACAGAGAGGGCTCTGCCTGGGCAGCAAGGCACAGAGCTCCCCAAAATGCAGGGCAGCCCCAGCCCTGCCTTCTGCAAACACCCCCTGCCTGCAGTGCCCAGGGCAGTCAATGGGAGCTGTTTGTATTTTCCAGGATCAGGCCCTCTGTCCGGACCTGAGTGGCAGAAATACTCTTATTGACATCAAGCAACAACTTTCAACAGCAAAACATCATACCCCAGCTTAGGACAACTAGCAAATGCCCTGAGACCCACTGCAAAATCCAGTTAGTGAGCTATGTCTCTTGTGGAGATAACATTCAGACCTAAAATACAAGTTAAGGAAGAAATAATGTCACTTATGAAGGACAGGGCTTCTGCTGGCCCTGCTCTGATTTCCATTTGTTTACTGGACAGCAAGGAAAATGGTTCCTTCCCCACTGCACAAGTCTGTACAGGCTTCAGGGCTGGGATTGCCTTTAACCCACTCACTCCCAGGTGAGACAGGATGGTTTCCTTAGGCTATTCTGCCTGTCTTTATCCCCACCCCAGGAATACACACTCATGGCCCCTGTGTGAACTCACCCTCCGCACTATGACCTGCTGAAAAGTAACCCAGTAAAACCAGGTACTGTGCAGGATCTGATCTACATCCCTGCAGCATCAGCCACCGACTTTTTGGTTATTACCAGATGATGCTAGATCATTGTTGGAAAGGAAACCTGGCATCTGAACCCTGCTGGTACGGGATGGTATTTCTCCCAGCTCTAGCAAAAAACAATCCCACAGTTACACCATCTGACAATCCCACTGAGCACATAGTTTCTTTTTACCCAGGTACATTACACAGGATACAGTGATCACATTGGGAATTCAGATACACCGATACCAGCTGACAGCTAAGAAACTGAACATAACACAGTCTCGACTACACTTAACCCTTCACATGCACAACAAAACAGAAAACAAGGAAGGCTTTTGCCTTTAAAAGTGCCGTGCCTGCAATCAATTAAAAAAGACATTTAAAATCTTGTCACAAAAGACTGAATTTTCCAATGTAGCCTAAGAGGTTAAGTACTAAAACCACACTAAAATGCAGAGGGTGGTGGATGACCAGCTCTCCTAAGTTGCCTTTGAAAATCCAAGACCCAGCAAATAAAGTCAAGGAAAGACATTTACCACATTTTTTGTCGGTAGCTTTTTGCCATAGGATGGTAAGGGCTTTAGTGCCTGAGGTATAGGTAGTTCCTGGATGCTTCTAGGGAAGTGGGAGGGGGGAAGAGTCTGGAGGATAGTTTGCATAGCTTGCAGATATAAAGAAGCAGGTGTGTTCCCCACCAGGCTGTTGAATTTGTCTTCCCCCAGCAAAGCTGTCCAGTGGTCAGGATGCTCCTGCAGAACTTTCCGCATCTTAAACTGTGGGTTGGGCATGAAGAGCAAGAGGTAGTCGAGGCAGAGCTTCTTTGATGCCACGTTGACTTTGGAGTCCCACATCTGCTCCAGGATGACGTCCAGTGGGGTAAGCCCTTTGCTGTCCTCTATCCTGGGAGAAGCTCCATTCCCGAGGAGGATGAGGACCGTCTCTGACCGCAGCAGTTCGCAGGCAAGGTGCAGGGGGGTTTTCCCATCTTCCAGATGAAAGCAGCCAGTCCTATTGATGTAGGAGTTCAAGCTGGGGAGCTTGTGTGCAATTTTGATGATCAGCCCCAAGATATCTCTCCTGTCATATGTGACCGCCATGGCCAGGTGAGGAGCAGAGGATGGGCAATAGCAGAAGTGTTCCCCAGGCACCTTGAGAGCCTCCTCTGGAAAATGAGACAGCAGATATTGAGCATAAGGCAGGTGGTTATGCACCACTGCATAGAGAAGGGCTTCTGAAGGTGAGTAGGTTCTTAGGCTGGCATTTTCCTCCCAGTAAAAATACTCCATAGTTCTCATGTCTTCCAGCATCCACACAGGCTTGTGATCTCTCACAGCCTGGTAGAACATATAGGATAAGAACTTACAGTGCCTGCTCTGATCATCCTGCAGACTGGCCTGGTTACTGGCCATGGCTCAGCAAATAACAAACAGCTCCACGTAAAATCACTCCAGACTGGAAGATCTGTGCACTTGGAATGCAGATCCCGGTGCTGCTGCAACCTTCAGGCTGTCATTGCTGCCTGGACTGCACTAGCTGGAATGCATGGGCTGATCATCTCCACCCATTCATTGTTTTTCCCCTCACTGCAGTGGTTTTGTTTAGGTAAGCACAATCCCACAGGCTCAGTTAACCCATGCCATGCGAGCAGATGGTTAGTAAGTACATCCCGCTCTGCGCGTGGCACAGGTTACTGGAACGCTGTCAGACTGCGAGTGATTTTATACACACACAGAGCTAGCGAGAACAGAGGGAGAGACTAAAATTAGCTTGAGAGGTGAGGCGGATTTCTGTCTGCATTTCGTGTCGCACCAGATCAGCTCAGGCACTGCAGTAAGTGTAAGAGCAATATTCATCTCTCTTTTTGTGTGTCACTCACACATACACAGCTCGTTATAGAGTAAAAAATATGTGGCAGTGTAAAATGCTCCACAGATGAAAACACACATGATTATATGCTTGGGAAAGCAAGGGCTTGGTAGCTGTAGCATTAGGAAGGGATCCCTATTTTATAAATAATGGTATGGCTAGCCACTTAGGAGACACTGATGGTAATGGATTGTCTATAAGCCATTAGTGATGTTTAAGATCCCAGCATTAATGTCTGCAGAGAACAGAGTCAAGCTGCATGTGGAGTAACTACAGCCCAGAGTCATAAAGCAAAAGCATATTGCTCAGTTTAAACACCTGCCTTTGTTTAGCACAGAAATATCTGTGCCTCCCTGTTGCACAGCAAGTACATAAACAAAAGGTCAGTGGCCAAACCCCAGTGGTGTGTGGAGAGCTTTGATGTGAACATTTCTCAGATGTCACAATCCAGGGCTGGGGTCAGAGCCAGTCACAATGGGAGGAAGTGGGATTAACCAATGAGACTTGTGCAACGCCCTGGTAAAACACAGATGCCCAAGGTCTCCAAGCTTGAGAGGGCAGTGCCTGTGGGATGAGGCAGAAGGACCGGCCCAAAATAAAATTCACAGAAAAGAAATGAGCGAAGCATTCTTCATAGCAACTTGTGCGGAAGGAAGGAGGGTTTCCATGTGCCTTATATATCAACAGATTGCAGTAAGATGGTGTCTCGCCTTTTTGATATGAAAACAGGGAAAATACAGCAAAATTTTTTTTTCTTTTTCCATTTAGCAAGGACACAAACATTTATTCAGTGTACTCAAAACAGGGAGTATTCAAGTATCAAATCTGAACATCTCCAAATGCTGTCTGCGGTCTCCAAAGAGAAAACCAAAGCCACGCACAAAACTGGATGTAGATGTAGCACATCTTCCAAAGTTCTGAGTGTTCATTTCCTTAGCACAAGCATTTCTCTTTAGGGAGTTTTTTTCATAGGGTTGGAATAAACAAGTGTATGTCCAGTTTTCACCCACCATTACTGTGGTCATGCATGGAAATGCTGCTACACAGTCATTTGTACATGATATTGCCTGTCTTGTACCCATGGTCACAATAAACTATGTGCATGCTCAGGGCCAGATCAAAAGCCTACTGAAGTGCACAGGGAGGTTACCACTGACTCCAGAATGCTCTGGCTCAGGCATTAGTTGAGCACTTAGAGACACACATTTTTTTTCCCCAGTTTCTAACCCAAAGCATCTGAAACTTGGACTTCGGTATGTGGAAAAGAGGTGAATCAGTATTGAAGTGGCTAGCCTGTTTTGTCTAAAGCTCTTCCAGAGCTTCTCCTAGTAGTAAATCATTACTATACCCCAGGAATTACATGGATTTATTTATTTCCATGTTGCAGGCATGGGAAAACGCAGACACACACTTTACGTGGCTCAGTTTTACAGACCAAACTTGGAATTGCTGTGTCTTTGCCCAGTGGTTGTAGCCCACATGGAGTTCAACTTGGTGCAGACACACACAAAAGTCAAGGGAAAAATACTCTGCTAGTATCTCCAAGGAAAAGAGAATCCAAAATTCCTCAATAAAGAATGGCCACTAGGCTTATGGCATTCAATCACATCTACATCACAGGCCCAGGATGGCCAGGACATGAAAACATCTGTAATCACAGCTGATCATGTAATGACAGATTACACCCTAGTTCTGCCCAGGAAGCCCAGCACAAAACCAGGAGAGTCTTCTGCATGGTTTGCTCCCCTCTGTGTGGTATTAAATGGCACAGGTCTGCCTGCTGTGGTGGCCCCTGACTTTGGACTATTTTGTTTTTTCCAGGAGTTTAGAAAAGCTGGAGCTGATGGCAGTGCATTGCTTCTGAATTTTATCACAAGCATAATGCATGTGTAAAACATAGCTTCATTAGAAACAGAAGACATTAACATGGAAAGATTTACTGAGGAACTGGAAGAAGATTAGGAGTTTCTGTTTATTTCTTTGAATTTTGAAATGTGGCTAAAAAGAAAGTACCCTAACTCATGAAGTATTTGTTGTGGCTTCCCTCTTGCCCAAAGTGCAATCTAGGAGGTGAACAGAATCAGGTTTGACTCATAAAGAGAGCATCCAAGGGAGCAGGAACCGTTTAGAAGGGTGAAACTGAAAAAAACCCCACCATTTACTATTTCAGTTGGGATCAAGATGCTTTTTAAACCTCTCCTGGACCAATACATTTTTCACACTTTGATGGTGATTTCAGCTTTTAAAGTAATTTAGTTACTGTGAGCCTGCGAGAAATATAGTGTTTTTCTGAGTTATTCAGGGATCTTCTTACAGTGTTATGCTCAACATATGGTTTCTGGGCAAAAGGGGAAGATACCTGATGTGTAAAGATGTGCATTTACTGTTAGTATTACTGAAATCTTACCACTCTAATTAAAAAAATCATTATTAATCCAGATCTAATTATTACAGAAAGAAAAAAACAACCTCCTATGCAGAAAAAGTTTTGATGATGATGATGATAATAATAAAAATAAAATCATAGAATCATAGAATAGTTAGGGTTGGAAAGGACCTTAAGATCAAGTTCCAACCCCCCTGCCATGGGCAGGGACACCTCACATTAACCATGTCACCCAAGGCTCTGTCCAACCTGGCCTTGAACACTGCCAGGGATGGAGCATTCACAACTTCCCTGGGCGACCCATTCCAGTGCCTCACCACCCTTACAGTAAAGAACTTCTTCCTTATATCCAATCTAAACTTCCCCTGTTTACGTTTTACCTTGTTACCCCTTGTCCTGTCACTACAGTCCCTAATGAAGAGTCCATCCTCAGCATCCCTATAGGCCCCCTTAAGATACTGGAAGGCTGCTATGAGGTCTCCACGCAGCCTTCTCTTCTCCAGGCTGAACAGCCCCAACTTTCTCAGCCTATCTTCATACAGGAGGTGCTCCAGTCCCCTGATCATCCTCGTGGCCTCCTCTGGACTTGTTCCAACAGATCCATGTCCTTTTTATGTTGAGGACACCAGAACTGCACACAATACTCCAGGTGAGGTCTCACGAGAGAGAGCAGAATAAAGGGGCAGGATCACCTCCTTCGACCTGCTGGTCACACTCCTTTTGATGCAGCCCAGGATACGGTTGCTTTCTGGGCTGCAAGCGCACACTGAAGCCGGCTCATGTTCATTTTCTCATCGACCAGCACCCCCAAGTCCTTCTCCACAGGGCTGCTCTGAATCTCTTCTCTGCCCAGCCTGTAGCTGTGTCTGGGATTGCTCCAACCCAGGTGTAGGACCTTGCACTTGGCATGGTTAAACTTCATGAGGTTGGCATCAGCCCAGGAACAGTGGCCTGTTCCTTTGGCCACTTTTAAACTCAGGGTGATAGACAGAGCCCTTGATGTAGGAAATGCTTCCTGCATATATGGGTGTGACAGGCATACCAACACAGCCACCAAAAGCATGGACCAATGCAACATGAGCATTATGAGAGCAATGCCAGATGATGAGCTTCCTTGCAATGCACTTAGGGCAAAGTGGAGCCTGCTGCAAATGCAATAGCACCTTCTCAACTCTGAAAGAAGGAAGGCGTAAGACTGAAGATGTATTTTGACATAAAATGTTCTTTGTCTGCAGCTTCACAGGATCATTTGTAGAACCTACTTTGGTAAATTTGTGAAGTTTTCTTCTGTTTCCTACAGGATAGTTGAGCAAAATCCCTGCCATTGTAACACTGTGGTCACCTAGTGCTAACACTTTGTGTTACAAACCTCCATATCTAACAAGGTGTAGCTGAGAGATGCAAAGCATGAAGTGTCATGGAGTTAATGAAGTTCTGAACTCTGGCCCCTAGTAACAGGTATCACAATTTTGTAACGGCATTTCTTCAGTTATGAAGAATATTTGTTCATTTAATTCAAGCAGCTGGTGGGATTGCCAGAGCCTGGGCACTGTCAGGTGCTGCAGGCTGGTCAGGGCAGAAACCCTACCACCATGAATCAAATGCTTTTCCTTTGTCAGCTCCTGAGGAGAGACTGCCCATTTCTACAGGCAGGCACACCCAATAAACACTGCAGTCACTCCAAAGGAAGGATAAAGATGTTTCTGACTCTCACTGAATGTCAGACATCTCTTCAAATATAGGTCAGATCAAGTAGCATGCTTGTGTTTGGAGGATGAGATGTCAGCTCAGTTTAATCACCTAGGAAAACAAGGCTCATCTTATTCCACTTTCTGAAAATGCTTTTGAGACTTCATTGCACAGAGCCTACATGGCAAAAATCCTGGTGTCTCCTATTTCTGTGAGCCCATTTATTTCAGATCCCACTCCTGTTCTAATTTGAGACTACATCTCCCAAAGACTGTACATAAATAGACAGATTACTATTCCTCTTCCAGAAAGTAACCTGTCAGCTGAGCTCTGTTTAAAGAACAAAAAGCCCTCACAGACAGTCTGTGCCCATGGATTCACTGAACCAGATGCTGTTTTTTCCAGTGAGTGGCTGAGGCTAAGACAGTCTTATATTGATGGATGTTTTCCTTCCTCGTGATGATTAGGGGTATTGGTGCCCTGTTTTACCATATCTCTGTGTAAATGTTCAGGCTGACAACTACTGCATTCAGGAAGGTTTGAATGCATTTTGTTTCCAGAAGTGATGAAAAGCAATGCTTTTTCACACAACCCATAATTAACCTGGGGAATCCAGTGCTACACAAGACTGAGACTAAGTTTACAGTTTCCAAAGATCTTATGTTTTCTGTAAGTATTAAGGTCTTTGTTCTGTGTGTATGCAGCAACTGACAGTAGACAAAAACTGCAGCTCCAAGGACCTACCACTGTGTAGATGGGCAAGGAGGTAAAACACTATAGCTGTGCCATTCCTGACACAATGAAGACAAATTTATCTGGACCTTCTTAGTAGTTTTAGCACTGTATTGGTTGTGAACAAGGGCTTGTCAGGAAGTCTCTGTCACACTTTCAATAAACATCTTTGAAACTTTATTTTAATTGAATCCACCACAAAAGAAGAATCCAGGCTGTGAGCAGCAATGTTAAACCTCACAGTCTCCAAGCTGTAATCCCATAATTAACTGCTGGAGGTTACTGAAAACAATCTTAGCAATCAGCCCTAGCATCGTTACGAATGATTTGTTAGGAAGGTCTTTGCAGTGTCTTCTGAAGCCTCAGAGATTGAGAGAGACTTCAAAGCTAATTCAA